AGTCTGTGTCTAAAAGGAGAGGCGCAGCCAGGCGGGGTGGAGGCATTCCGTCCTCTTCACTGGCGTGAACCCCATAGGATAGCCGTTGGAAAGCCGGCACCCTCTGAGCTTCCCGCCGGCGAGCCCGTTCCTTCAAGACTGCCCGCAAATCCTCTGAATGAGCAGAATAAGAATACCTTGACGTCGTCGCCGGACGTGAGGGTCAGTAGGTACTATCTTGCACACTGGACTTCTCTTCGTGCAGGTTGGAATCTCCAACCTTGTAACTTCTGGTGATGGAAATGGACACAGTGTGTCGCTGACTCTGACTGCCTGAACGGCGGGGTTGGGTGCACGCACTGTGGTCTCCCACTCCAGCTACACCCTTCCCTTTAACATGCCGCTTCAGTTCCTCCATCTCCGTCGCCATTCGCCGGATGACGGCGTCCTGGTCCCTTAACTTGTGTTCCAGACGTCTGGCATGTGATTCTCTTCGCCGCTGATGACCATCTGGACTCCGCGAATGACTATAACTTCTTCCGCGCTTATCCCGTGCATCTCTTGAATGTCCTCTTGGAGAAGTCTCCAGGTCCGCCATCGGAGGAACGATGATGGGATGCCCTTCTCTCCGTCTGCCCGACTCCGGGGTAACTCCGTCGACGGCGGACAGCGGAATCTCTTCGTTGTTCGCCATGGACGGTGATCAAACGAGCCTGGAAGACAAGGTTTTGTCTGCAAACTTCCCACAGACGGCGCCAATTGTGCGGGGAGCAAATATTCAGGCAAGTCCGCACTCCTTGCTTCCAAGCTTCGTTTCTATTCGATCACCAGCGTGCACAACAGTAGTGAGCTACCCGGTGGTGTGTGACCAGAAAACCCCTCCGACGATCAAGTTAGCACACACCTGAGGATAGAGAGAGTGAGGAGAGAGTTGAGTGTAAGTATTTCCCTTACCAAATGTTCGTCTGTCCAGCATGGGGGGCGCAGACTTGCTTATATACCTTCTGCGCCCCAAATCTACTCCCAGTGATCTCTCGACACGTGGTTCTGCTACCCTATCTGTTAGTACAAATCTTGCTGAACATCACCTAACCCGACTGCCAGCCCACTCTTCTGGGAGTTCGGCAGCCGGGCTTCAACATCTCGGCTGTCAACGGCCATGCTGCGATTCATGCCTAGGTACGCCCACAACCGAGCTCCTTTCCAGCCATGCTCTACTGCGTTCCGGCGAAGCCAAGCTTGAGATTAGTCATACCGGTCAACCAAAGTCCTTCCTGCCGAACTTCAGGTATGAGCCTTCACGCCGAGCTATGGATGCATGCTTTCCAACCGCGCAACACATAAACCGTAGAACCCTCACTTGACCGGCCTCCGTGCCGACAAGGTGAAGTAGCTCGGTTCCACATGCCCTTGCCATTGCCGAGCAAAAATCACTTATGGGTGGACCTGGGATACCACGGCTCAAATGTGTTTAGCTCACAATTTGCCTGGTATTACCATGGCCCAATCCAGACCATATTTTTCCCTCTCATGAACAATTCAGATCATCAAAATATAGTCAAAAAATGTCTCTACGGGACCTCATAGTAGGGCTGCTGTGCCATAAGGCACAGCAGCAACCCTCAGCCCCATAAAACTAGAATCAACACCAAAACAGATCAAAATTTGATTCTCACAAATATGAGAGACCAAATGTGACAATGCTAACTGCCGAGTCCGATAAGGGTTACAACTGACTTGCAAGTCTATTACAGAAAGCAATTGATGAGGAGAAAAGGGATATCGAGATGATCAATTAGCTGATCCATCACAAGTCAAGATCAGTATTTTCAATTCTATTTAAAAAACCAATTCATGAAACTACTTATTAGATACATCACTCAGCACACTGTATAATATTGAAGAGGAAAATGAGGAATTTTAACTGGTTTTGGGATTGAGTACAGCTATTTCTTTGTTTGTTTGCTAAGTTTTTTTCCAGCAGAATTAGTAGAAGAATTTTGTTCAAATTTCCAAATTCAGAAGGCTAATGGTATCAACCCAATAAATGTTTGAGCAATTAGCTGATTTTGAAAACACCAAAAACTAAAGATACCATACACTCAACTAAAATTTTATTCAGATGATTCCTTCCTTTGATGTTTGAAGAGACATTAAGCATTTCAATCAATGCAAAGGTTAAACCATCTATAAATCCACCAAGAACCATAACATTATGAATTATATCAAATATTCATGTTTCACAATACAACAATATATTCACCTACTCAATATCTAGTGAAACATGCAAATTTGAAATTATAAATATTGATCATATTTCAAAAATTATTGCAATTCCTACAATTTGAAATTATAAATATTGATCATATTTCAAAAATTATTGCAATTCCTACAACAGATGCAATTCACAAAAGAAAAACACTTAGGCCTCGTTTGGGAACCGGCTATTTTGGTAATTTTTTGACTTTTTGACTAAAATATGAGGCAAAAAAAAAAACTAGTTATTTGGAATGATTTTTTGATTTTTTACAAAAAGATATGTAAAAAATAGAGAGAGAAAAGAATATTTGACTTTTTGGTATAAGCGGTTGACTTTTTAATTTTTTTTAGTGACTTTTAAACTTTTAAACTAAAAAGTAATATTGCCAAACAAGACCTAAGCAAGCAATAAAAATAAAGATCAAACAAAACATTAGAATTATTAATGCAAACAAAAAAGATAAAGAAAAAAAAAAACATTATGATACATAAACTTGACTAACAATAGTTGTGCTAGAAATGACCAATATCACAAAATTTTGAACAGCCCATCGAAGATAAGATGAGGTATCAGTAAAACATACATGAGTATTTTCTCATTCAAAGTTGCAATTCATTGATCTACTCCTGTTCGGCGACTTTACTCTTCTTTTTCTTCTTCTGCTTCTCACTTTTGTTTGCCTCGTCATCACTCCCACCAGTAGTTGTAGGCAATACAGAGGCACTGCCATTCTGTGCGTCTTTGCTCTTCTTCTTTTTCTTCTTCTCGGATTTCTCCAAATCAGAAGTCACATCCTCATCACCCCCTTCTTTTTTCTTTTTCTTTTTCTTCTCTTTCTTTTCAACTTGCACATCTAACTCCTCTGTTTCAGTCCCCACTACTACAGCTTCATCAATTTTTACTTTCTTAGCAACATCTAGCACAGGGTTCCCATCAATCGCCTCCAATTTACGCTTACGACCCTCCTCTCCATCTTTGGGATCCTTATGTTTTTTCTTCTTTTTCTTCTCTCCCTCCACTACCACTGCCTCTGTATTTGCTGGTTCAGTTGCAGCAGCAACACCTGCAACCATAGAATCGCCTCCTACAGGAAGAACCACATTCCTCATCCACTCAGACGGGGTGTTCTCATTTGGTTTACCATGCTTATCCAATTTCTCCGCCGTAATCAGCTTCTTCTTCATTGAAGCCCTTGGACCCAACCCCCATTTCCTTGGATATGTATCTCTATCCATCACTACCCTCTTAATCTTCGCCACAACCCCATGATCACAAGTAGCCATAACAGCCGTAGTCATCTCCGCAATTCCCAACACAATCGCCTCTCCCTTAGTGGTCATCAAAACCACCTCTTCCCCAACCTCAATATCATTCTCAAACCTCAATAACCCGGGAACCATCAACTTAGCACCATAACAAATCGCATTCATTGCTGAATCCTTCACAACCAATCTCTTGTAACTAGTCAACAAAATCTCCAATGGCATAATCACTCTCCTCAAATAACTCTCATCTCTATAATTATCGTATATCCATTGTGCATCCATCACGTCGTGCATCGTCACCATATTATCTTTCTCACCCATAATCCCCGATCGCACTCTCCGAAGCTCTTGCATATGAGATCCAACACCCAAAATCAGACCCAAATGAACACACATTGTCCTCACATACGTACCCGCCTCACAAGAAATCCAAAACACAACCAAATGGCGATCTGGGTCATACTCTAATAACTTACATTCATAGATTGTCCTAATCCTAAGCTGTCTTTTCACCGCAGAAATCAGCGGCGGGCGCTGAAAAACCGCCCCGATTAGGGTTTCCAAAGCCCGACCCACCTTTGCAACATCGGACACACCCGAATGGAGTCGGGCAATACATACATACTCCTTCCCAACCCCTTGCTGGGACTTCACGAGCCGGGTCGCCCGATCAATACAAACAATGAGGTTTCCGGTGACTTTCGGGTCGAGGGTACCGCTGTGGCCCGTTTTCTCCACCAGGAGGATCCGTTTGATCCAAGCCACGACCTCGTGAGAAGACGAGTTGGCGGGTTTGTCGAGGTTGAGAACACCGTACCTGATATACTCAGCGAGAGGGCGTTTGAGGGGGGAGAAACCGGAGGGAAGAGGAGTGTAGTGTCCAGTTCGTACATTGAGGCGGTCGTAGTTCTTGAGGAGGATCGGCCATTGAGAGGTGTCGATGGAGGGAGTGAAGCTTTGGGGTTTGATCAGGTAATCGGTGTCGGTTTGGGCGGTTGGGTCCGGACCCGAATCGTATTTGGATTTGCTCTTCTTTTTCTTCTTCTCGGAATGAGTTACCTCGAGGTCGGACATAACTGGGTTGAGTTGAGTTGAGTTGAGTTGAGTTGAGTTTTCTGTATTAGGGTCTTGAAGGAATGAAAATGGGGGGTTTGGGGGGGAAGAAGACAGGGGAGGCTCGTTGAGTTGGAGAGGACATAGAAGAAATAGAAATTAGGGTTTAGATGTTGCAATATGCTCTAGCAATTGATTGTTGCCACCTGGTAAGTTTTAGGGGCAAACCCAAAAAAAAAAAAAAAAACACCTCCTCATCGATTTTTTTTATTTATGCATGTCAATCACAGCAAACACATCATCATTTTATTTGCATTTGCATTTACATTTCATTTTGTATGTAACAAACATCGCTATTAAACAAAGGTAGTAGTTGAAATCTCAATCAAACTCATTGCGATAAAAAATAAAAAATAAAAAATAAAAGAAAAAGAGAAGAGTCATGAGTTCAATATATTCATCTTCTATTTTCACAAAGTGCATTACCCAAAGTGCTAATAACAGTTAATGCCCATATGGCCAAAAAATAAATGAGCATACATAATCATATTCCCCTTCACAAAACATGTAATGGGACATCTTCCCAATTTAGTGAAATATATCATGTTCCCCTTTACAAGAATATATACAAAAATATACTATATTGTCCCCATTTACAAAAATATACCACATTACCTACATAAAAATATGTCATATAATTTGTCTTGAAACATTACATTTCTTGTTCCATCTCGGATGGCATGCTGCATAATTTCCAACCATCTGATACAAATAACAAGAATAAACAAAAATTAGTTATGTAACAAGAATACAATAACAAATAGAGTAACTAGTTTACAATTAATTATTAAATGAGCAATACATGAGCCAAGTACCATGCTCAAGACATACTCCATTTAATGGGCTGCACTACAGGCTGCAATGTCACATTAAATAAAAATATAATGAAACTAAATAAGTAATGTTTCAATGCATTCAATAGTCAAGTTTAGAATGTATGTGATACTTACATGTTGTCCCCCTACCACTATTGAAGTAGAACCTCTACCACTTGCACCTCTTCCAGTTAGAATTCCACAACCTGAACCTCTATTACTACCTGTGCAACTGTCACCTGCATCACTCCCTCTAATAGAAACTCCCCTTCCTAGACTTGAACCTTTTCCACTTTCTTGGCTTATTGTAACCCCACTTGTTTGCCCTGTTGTAGAAACACTTGAACCACTAATTGAGATAGATTTACCCTTTCTCTTCATAGGAGCCCTTTGACAAGTCCTTTTGTTGTGCCCAATTTCTTTGCATATGACACATTTAACAATGCATGACCTTCTAGAATCACCAACTCTAGGGGAAGCTTCACCAACTTCCATTCTCCTACTATTTGGAGGCCTACCAGGCAGTCTCTTAAGAATTGGAGGCTTCAAAGCTTCTTCTGGAACTTCATCAACATACTCTTATCATGTATAGGATGAATAATATCCCCATATGCACTTAAGAACTTATGCCTCTGATAAACTCGATCACAAAATGTTTCAATGTTCATTCTCCTATGAGAAATACGAGTAGCTGTATGCTTGCAAGGGACTCCAGTAATGTCCCAAACTCTACAACAACAGGACCTACTTAGGAGGTTTACAATGTGTACAGTAACACCTTCCATCACTTGATATTCATTTCCACCAGCAATGTGATCTTACACATCCTTGATTTGAAGACAACCTCATCTAACTTCTTTCTAATGGTAGGGGTCACCAAATTTTCCCATGTAGCAGCTTTCTCAAATCTTTTACGCAATTTTCCCATTAATTTGGTCCTAATACTTTCCAATATTGTAATGACAGCTTTCCCTCTTACATTCCTAATCTAATTGTTAAATGATTCAACCATGTTGCTGGTGATATGGTTACTTTTCACTCTAGGATCAAAGGTGTGTCTAGCCCAAACTTCTAGTTTTAAGTCATTTAACCATTTATAGGCTGGTTTTGGCATCTCTTCAATTTGCCTCATAACTATGTTGTAATCTTTCTCAGTATATGCTCTAGCTACAGCCCAAAATGATCCCCTAAGCTTCAAACCAGGAAATTTTGATTTAAAATTGTTAAACAGGTGTCTACAACACCTCCTGTGAGTTGCTTCAGGCGTGACTTCCTTCAAGGCAGGTTCAATGCCCTAATACAAAATAAAAGTAAACAAAAGGTTATATTATAAATGCATAAATTCATTAGACAAATTACAAACTAAATTATTTCATTTCAAAGTGCATAAATTTACCTTTTGGCCATCTGACATTATAGTCCGTGGCTTGCTTTGAGGACCATTATCAATAATGGTACGCAGATGGTACAAGAAGAATCTCCAATTTTTCTTGCATTCACACTCTACCACAGCATATGCTAAAAGAAATAGACCATTATCCCTATCCAAGGCCACGACAGCTAGCAAGACTCCACCATAAGAACCTTTCAAATGACACCCATCCACACATATAAAAGGTCTACAACCATCTTTGAACCCTTTTTGCATTGCTGTAAGTGAGATAAATATCCTCTTGAACATAACTACATCTAATTTAGGACCAACACTGTCCTTTTCAATTTTCACCAAACTTCGTGGGTTAGTCTTCATTATTTCATTTGCATACTTCGACAACTTACTATATGATGCAGCATGATTACCCTCAATTGCTTCCAATGCTTTCCTCTTCCCCCTTTAAAGTTGCATTCTTGAGGCCTCCACACCATAATTTTCAGTCAATTCATTTTGCATAGCTTCAAGAGTCATCCCTGGATTACCCTTAAGGATTCTTATGAATTTTTCTGCTATCCATGTTGATGTTGCTTCAGGATTCCTCTCTACTCTCACACAAGTATGGTCAGGCCCTAATGACTTAATTTTGAAAGTTAATCCATTAGGAATAAGTGAGGCATGGATTCTTCAATTACATCCCCTAGAACCACAATGAGCTGTTACTTTAACTCTCTCATTCTTCAATCTCACCAATGTGAACCCCCTCTCAATGGCATATTCCCTCAAAACAGTCCTAAAGTGGGAGACATCTTCAAACACCATTCATTTCTTCAATGTAATTGTTTCCCCTTCTTTAATCTCAAACATATTTCCCTCCATAAACCTATCAGCATTTATAGCTTATACATCCTGGTCATTACTAGAATAGTTCTCTTCATCATCATTTGATTCATAATCTGACAATCCACCAAGATCAGAACGGTTCACATCATCCTCATGTATTTCTTCTTCAACTTCTTCACCATTCCATTCATCATCTTCTTCATTTGAATCAGAAACCATATAAGTTTCATCTTCTTCACCATCTTCACAATCAATATTGTTATCATCACCCAGTTCATTCCTCAAACATATTTCCCTTCATAAACCTATGAGCATTTATAGCTTATACATCCTGGTCATTACTAGAATAGTTCTCTTCATCATCATTTGATTCATAATCTAACAATCCACCAAGATCAGAACGGTTCACATCATCCTCATGTATTTCTTCTTCAACTTCTTCACCATTCCATTCATCATCTTCTTCATTTGAATCAGAAACCATATAAGCTTCATCTTCTTCACCATCTTCACAATCAATATTGTTATCATCACCCAGTTCATTCCAATCCACATCACTATAATCATCCAAATCCCTGAACATATCATCAACCATACTAGGCCTAGATCGAAAACCCATAGCTGACCTACTATTGCTCCCATGCTGCAAATGCATATTAGTCTCATGGGTCTCCTCGAAGCCTATAGGGGCTAAACTGTGTGCAACATCAAAATAAATAGGAATTTCTTTAATTCCTACATATAATCCAAGCATTCTAAGGAGATCCTGGTCACATTTGAGTTCAATCCTAATTTCTGACCTTGGTACCACACCATATAAATCCAATGCAATCGCATGACTTGCAGGGACATTACTTAATGCAATTTCACAACTATCAACAATTAAATCCATATGGTTGTACTTGTCTGGGTCTACATTTAGAATGTGATTAACAGATCCTTTATAATGAACCACTATATCATGTCTCATTTCAGTAGCCATTTCCTAATATAACAAGTAAATAATAGACAAATCATGTATACAAAAATGAGAACTCAGTTTATCCCCAATATCCATTAAAAAAAAAAAAGTTTATCCCCCAATATTGTACAAAATCAGTTTCCTCAACATTAATATGTTTGGTTTGATTTTCATAATCTATTTATGAATTTTTTGAAAAAAACCAAAAACTAATTTATTGAAATAAAATAACAAATAAAAAATACTCATCAATTTCATATAGTTCTACATTTTTGAAAGAAAAAAGATCTCAAAATTTAAATATATATATCTTTTTCGTATTTATTTTTGTCAAATTAATTTTTATTTAAAAAAAATTATAAAACTGATTTTGGAACAAAACCAAACAGACTATGAAATCAAGTATTTTTGTCACAACATAAATGAAATTACAAACTTCATACATAAAGCACAATTAAACACAAGTAAAAAAATTGGTGATTTAACCCCCGCCCCCCAAAAAAAAAGAAAAAAAGAAGAAGAACAATCGTTATAAAATATGTTCAGAACTCAAATGATCATCCTACAAAGAACACATAAACACCACTACATGTAAATAATAAAGGTTTGTGCAAACCCTAGTCAACAAATTTTGGGGGAAATGAAGTTTCCAGGCAAAAAAAAAAAAAAAAAACACTAAAAGGTAAATTATAAATAGGCCCATTAGCTTGTCTTCAACTTCTTAGTTCAAATCACAAAAACACCATATATAAATACAAAAACTCAACATGTTTTGAACATGGGTAACAATGTTCAAACCTTAATAAAAAATTTATGGAGAAAAACGAAATCATACAAACTAATTTCAATTTGTACAAAAAGCCAGAGTACAAAATCCATTTTTTACTTCCACCAAACTTCAAACTCATTTACAAAAAATAAGAAATTACTTACACCAATCGTTCATGGAAAAATCCTTTCACAGAGAATACCTTGATCTTTGTCTTCAATGAGTCTCTGACTCTTTCCTCTACACTCTTCTCTCTTTATCTTCTCTCTACACTCTTCTCTCTTTTCTCTGGAGGCTTCTGAGTCTTTCCCTCCAAATGAGGCTTGTGGTAGGTAAAAAAAGATGTGCTAAGATAACAAATAAAATATCCCTATTATTTTAATGTTTAATATGTATAAAAGTTAAGGGTAAACATGTCATTTTACCCTAAAAGTTAACACTGTTAAAAAAATTACACTGCCAAGGAGGGTTAGTGTAATTTTTCAAATGTAAGAGGAGAACTGTAATAAATTTAAACCTCAGAGGGTGTCAGTATAATTTACCCTTTTCAAAATTATGTCAAATTTTTTTTATTTTTTAGTCTGTCTTATCGAGACCAATGTAGAAAATATATATATTTTTAAAATTTTTAAAAAAAATGAAAAAGTCAAAATAAGTCAAGAAAGATTGATTATTTTTGTTTGGCGTCCCATATGTTAGTATATTTTTTATTTATTTTTTATCTTTTTGGATCACATCACCTCTATATTTTTTTACATATTTTTTTTTTATAAAAAGTCAAAAAGTGTATTTATTTAGATCATTTCAAACAATTTCTTATTCCTATTAAAAAAAAAGCCCTTATTTTTGTCTTTTCTAAATATTTTTTGGATTTTTTTAAAAAAATTATAATTTTCCATTTCGTCTCATCAAGCTGAATTTAGAAATTTAAATTTTTTAAAAAAATTAAAGACAAAAAATCACTAAAAATGAAAATATACAAAAATAAATAAATAAGTCGAAAAATAAACAAACTCCAAAATAATACTTAATAGTTTTTATTTTTAGTGTGAATGGGACCAATTAGAGATGTAATAATTGCAGAGACCCACTTTTTACACCTATAAAATGTGATACGTCTCATCTAATTAAGTATATAATTAATTAAAAATTGACACTTATCAATTCATATCATTGTGAGTTGCATTGTAGGAGATTTTTTAAGTTCTTAGTTATTTTCCTTAGCGATCTTTCTGTTGAGCCTTCGTTTGGCATGTCAGAATTTTTAGCTTTTTAGTTATTTTAGTCACAAAAACACAAAATAGATTTTTTAGTCCAATAAAATAAAATATCACATTTAATTCATAATTTTATTTTTTCTCTTACAAAAGTAAAAAAAGTCAAAAAATCTATCCCAAATAAGATTTTGTAGTTTAAACTAAAATAATCAAAAATCCAAAAAATCAATTCACATCCCAAATCCCAAATGAATCCTAAGTTGTGCTAGAGAAGCGCCGAACTGATTTTGGAAATAAATGGGCTGTGGGCCTGAGGTCCTTGGGCCTATTTGTTTGCTTATAACATGCCCCAGGCTCTCTGGCTCCATGTAGTTGTTGGGCCGCCTCCATCAGCCGAGTATCAAGTCTTGGTATTCGAGATCTACTTGTGTTTCATTTATTAAAATTTCGTTTGAGATTAATTTATTTTAAAATATTTTAGATTTGAATAAATTTTAACAACTTAATAAGGTTGTTTTTTGATTATGTAATTATAGAAAATCAAGTAATTCAAACTTGTCTAGTGATTGGTTCAATTAAAATTCGTGTAGATTGGCTTAAAAAGTTAACAAGCCAAACTTAAAACTCATTAAATTTTTAAATCATGCTTAAATGGCCTTCATTTAGTAATGTGGTTAAGACTAATTTAGCTCATTAAAAAACAAAATATTTAGGTCACATCACTTTTTTTATATTTTTTTTTGTATATTTTTTCAAATAAATAAATAAATAAATAAAACAAAAAAAAAATTTCCTACTCTCTAAAATAGGCCGAAGGAATGTTCTTAACTTCTATACGTCTCTTATTATGTAATGGGTTTGTGTCATGGATGCACGATCATGATAAGAAATTCTCTGTTTTAAAACTTCTATTCTTATGTTTCTAATACATATTTAATTAGTATATTAAATAATATATTATTTATTAAAAATATAATAATTATATTTAATTTTTTTATATTTTGTCTCTCATAAATAAAATTTTATATATGAGTTTAAGGGTTTTATTTCAAATATTCCTTTACTATAACATATAATATAGATATATTAAAATTGTTGTATTGATAATTAATAATTAAAATTATGTTTTGTTACAAAAAAAAAAAATTGACATAGTTTTAATATTTCACAATTTTAGAATAAAAATATATGAATTTAAAAAAAATTATATTGGTTTTTGAAAGGGAAATAATTAAAGAAATTTTAAAAACTTAATGAGTAAGAAATAATTATCGTAATATGTAAAACCGCTAAAATCACAGTTAAACCAGTAAATCATTCAAACCAAAAATGGTTTAGCTTGGCATGGTTTGGCAAGTGGGTTTTGATAGGTTTGGGGTTATTTTAGCCATAAAAACAAAATACGTTATTTTAGTCACAACAAACAAAACATCACATCCAACCCATAATCATTACACTCTTCTCTCATAAAAAAAGCCAAAAAAGTCAAAAAGCCCTTCCCAAACCAAGCTTTTTAGCCCAGGTTAAAATAGTCAAAAAAAAGCCAAAAAGCCAACCCACTTCCCAAACGACTAATCAGTTAAGTCAAAAGACCAATCAGTTTATAAAAAAAAATTAATTATTTAAAATTTAAAATTTTCTTTTATTAAAATTTAAACCGTCACTAAATATGGAAGCAACCAATTAATTTAAATCTAAAATTGACATAATATAAATTTAAAATTATAATAATCTATTCCATAATTTATAAGTTTTAAATAAAAATTTAAAATTATCATAATTATCTCATAATTTTTTTTATTAGGGAGCAGTAAGAGTGACATTGAGATTATCAATATATCTATATATTTTACAAAAAAAAAATACTTTTAAGAAGAGACATTATGAGAGTTTTAAAATCTCATACAAAATTATTTTTAAAATCAAAACCTCAATATGAGATTGTAAAATAAAAGTTAAATGGAAGCTAGCCAAAGGGGATTTTCTTAATTGTTTAAAATTAAGAAAATCAAAAAAATTAGTATGAGATATTGATCATAAGGCTTCTCACTAAAAATCTCGTTTTGCTTATATAAATGAGAGTATAAGATATACTTTATGTAAGTAAAACAATTTACTTTTTTTTTTCTTTCTTTTCTCAATATGAGATTGTAAAATAAAAATAAAATGGAAGTTTGTAACGCCCCAAAAATTTATAACATCATATAAGTACCCTAACCAACGTTTATTATAAGAAAAGATGTAATTCATCAACATTTACATCCTTCATCATTAAGGTTTGTACAAAATAGTTCAACATGCGAATTATA